GAGCAGCAGTGAGGGCTCTTCGGTACTGCACGGTACTGTCTTTCCAAGCTAGTCGGAAGACTTCCAGTTTGGTGTGGCGCCATTTCCGTTCCAATTTCCTGGAAGCTTGCTTCAAAGCTCGGGTATTTTCTGTATACCAGGGAGCTAGTTTCTTATGACAAATGTTTTTCGTTTTTAGGGGTTGCAACTGCATCTAGGGTATTGCGCAAGGTTAAATTGAGTTCCTCAGTTAAGTGGTTAACTGATTTTTGTCCTCTGACGTCCTTGGGTAGGCAGAAGGAGTCTGGAAGGGCATCAAGGAATTTTTGTGTTGTCTGAGAATTTATAGCACGACTTTTGATGCTCCTTGGTTGGGGTCTGAGCAGATTATTTGTTGCGATTGCAAACGTAATAAAATGGTGGTCCGATAGTCCAGGATTTTGTGGAAAAACATTAAGATCTACAACATTTATTCCATGGGACAAAACTAGGTCCAGAGTATGACTGTGGCAGTGAGTAGGTCCAGAGACATGTTGGACAAAAACCCACTGAGTCGATGATGGCTCCGAAAGACTTTTGGAGTGGGTCTGTGGACTTCTCCATGTGAATATTAAAATCACCAAAAATTAGAATATGATCTGCTATGACTACAAGGTCTGATAGGAATTCAGGAAACTCAGAGAGGAACGCTGTATATGGCCCAGGAGGCCTGTAAACAGTAGCTATAAAAAGTGATTGAGTAGGCTGCATAGATTTCATGACTAGAAGCTCAAAAGATGAAAACGCCATTTTTTTTTTTGTAAATTGAAATTTGCTATCGTAAATGTTAGCAACACCTCCGCCCTTGCGGGATGCACGGGGAATATGGTCACTAGTGTAACCAGGAGGTGAGGCCTCATTTAACACAGCAAATTCATCAGGCTTAAGCCATGTTTCAGTCAGGCCAATCACATCAAGATTATGATCAGTGATTAGTTCATTGACTATGACTGCCTTTGAAGTGAGGGATCTAACATTAAGTAACCCTATTTTGAGATGTGAGGTATCACGATCTCTTTCAATAATGGCAGGAATGGAGGAGGTCTTTATCCTAATAAGATTGCTAGGGTGAACACCGCCATGTTTAGTTTTGCCCAACCTAGGTCGAGGCACAGACACAGTCTCAATGGGTATGGCTGAGCTGACTACACTGACTATGCTATTGGCAGACTCCACTAAGCTGGCAGGTTGGCTAACAGCCTGCTGCCTGGCCTGCACCCTATTTCACTGTGGGGCTAGAGGAGTTAGAGCCCTATCTATGTTGGTAGATAAGAGGAGAGCACCCCTCCAGCTAGGATGGAGTCCGTCACTCCTCAGCAGGTCAGGCTTGGTCCTGTTTGTGGGTGAGTCCCAGAAAGAGGGCCAATTATCCACAAATGTTATCTTTTGGGAGGGGCAGAAAACAGTTTTCAACCAGCGATTGAGTGCTGAGACTCTGCTGTAGAGCTCGTCACTTCCCCTAACTGGGAGGGGGCCAGAGACAATTACTCGATGCCGACACATCTTTCTAGCTAATTTACACACTGAAGCTATGTTGCACTTGGTGACCTCTGACTGTTTCATCCTAACATCGTTGGTGCCGACGTGGATAACAATATCTCTATACTCTCTACACTCGCCAGTTTTAGCTTTAGCCAGCACCATCCAGGTGGGATGGAACAAAAGTTCCATCCCACCTGAACAGGCTGAAATTCCAGAAATCTTTTTTCAAACAGAGGTGCGTGCAACAAGGCTTCTGTTTGCGAACGCTCGTGGCAAACTATGTTTGTTTTCAACAGAGTTTGTTAAAAGTTTTTTTAAGACAAACATTCCATTCCGTTAGTTTTAGCTACTCTTTCTGGTAAAACAATGGATAGACCACGTAAAATGTTGATTTTAGCTGCAATAATCGATGACTCTTTAGACCCTGATACTGATGTCACATATTGGCTACCTAAACTCAGCAAAAAAAGAAACGTCCCTTTTTCAGGACCCTGTCTTTCAAAGATAATTCATAAAAATCTAAATAACTTCACAGATCTTCATTAAACTTCTTCGTTAAACATTGTTTCCCATGCTTGTTCAATGAACCATAAACAATTAATTACATGCACCTGTGGCACGGTCGTTAAGACACCAACAGCTTACAGACTGTAGTCAATTAAGGTCACAGTTATGAAAACTTAGGACGCTAAAGAGGCCTTTCTACTGACTCTGAAAAACACCAAAAGAAAGATGCCCAGGGTCGCTGCTCATCTGCGTGAACGTGCCTTAGGCATGCTGCAAGGAGGCATGAGGACTGCAGATATGGCCAGGGCAATAAATTGCAATGTCCGTATAGTGAGACGCCTAAGACAGCGCTACAGGGAGACAGGACAGACAGCTGATCGTCCTCGCAGTGGCAGACCACGTGTAACAACACCTGCACAGGATCGGTACATCCGAACATCACACCTGCGGGACAGGTACAGGATGGCAACAATAACTGCCCGAGTTACACCAGGAATGCACAATCCCTCCATCAGTGCTCAGACTGTCCGCAATAGGCCACCAGATACTGACTGTAACTTTTTATTTTGACCCCCCCCCCCCCCTTTGTTCAGGGACACATTATTCCATTTCTGTTAGTCACATGCCTGTGGAACTTGTTCAGTTTATGTCTTAGTTGTTGAATCTTATGTTCATACAAATATTTACACATGTTAAGTTTGCTGAAAATAAATGCAGTTGACAGTGGGAGGACGTTTCTTTTTTTGCTGAGTTTATTTTAGTGTGTGTATTGACAAGAATAAGTGAGCAGCCGATTGGAAGAGTCGAGGGTTATGTGGAGGAAGTCATCCCTCGGTACAACGACTTTGCCTTTCGGATTCATTTTAGGATGAGCCGAGAAACCTTTCAGGTAATTTGCATGTGTAGATGATCTCTGTGTTTTGATTAAACTAGCCTAAATAAAGTTAAGTGTCACAAAAATCCCCAATGATGAACCCTAGCCTCTTAGTTAGTTGACCAACCAGACAGCTGGGTGGGTGGGGTGTACAGTCAACCAACCAGACGGCTGGGGTGCAGCCTAATAGCTGATATAATCAATCAAATGGTTATTTATGTACATTAAGCATATTATTTACAAGGCTCCTTCTCTATCGACAGTTGCACAAAGGGCAAATAATTCAAATGTTAAAATGTTAAAGTACAATGTAAAAAAGTACAATGTAGCCTATAACGAACAATACATCAAGGCAGGACAAAACTCTAAGATGAATAAAATCCAATTTTGCTTAAGCAAAGGCAATTTGCACCACCAACTGCTCCAAATAGTAGATTGCCAGAACCAGCTGATGCCCACCTACATCAAGTGGCCAACACCCAGATTCCAGTTCTGGAGGCTGGGTCCAGGGGATCAGAGGGTTCCCTGGTGTGATTGGGTGCATAGATGGCACCCACATTACCATCAGGGGGCCCTCCGAACATCGGGATGCCTACATTAACCGAAAAGGCCAGCCCAGCTTCCAGCTGCAAGCTGTGTGCGACAGCCAACTTCGCGGACAACGCTGGTTCTGTGCATGATGCAGGGTGTACAGGACCAGCGACCTGAAGGCTCACCTAGATTCCCAACCTTTTATCCCCTAAGCCTAGAACTTATTGTCCCATTCAGCGACAATGGTCACCTAGTGGACGAGCACAAGCGATTCAACACGATTCACAGCTCCATCCTAGTCCAAATCGAGAGATCCTTTGGCCTCTTAAAGTGCAAGTGGAGGAGGCTCCAACATCATGACATGCTGCTGCTGGAGAAGATCCCAGATGTCATCGACAGTGCCTGTGTCCTCCACAACATGGTCCTCATCCATGAGGGCATAACAGAGGACTTGGATGAGGACTATGTTGTGGCACAGGCATGTAACATCGAGCCAGTCCCTGATCCTGCAGACAACAGAGTCGCCCTACTTAACCAGGCTGTCCAGAAGAGGGACAATATAATGGACCGGCTCGAAACAATAAAATAATTGTTGTTGCACAATGAGAAAATTGTTCTGGTGTCCATTTTGTAAAGAAATAGCACTTTTAATGGTTTAGATGAATGAAATAGAATGTAATAGAGTAACTTTATTCCAGAATGAAATTGCATAGAGAACAAAAAAAGAACTGACAGAATGTTTTTGTTTATATGTATATTGTCATTTAGCAGACACTCTTATTCAGAGCGACTTACAGTTAGTGAGTGCATACATTTTTCATACTGGCCCCCCGTGGGAATCGAACCCACAACCCTGGCGTTGCAAGCGCCATGCTCTACCAACTGAGCTACACGAATATACAATTTTGAAACATACTCACTACTTATTCCAAAACTAATTTGCTTCAATAACAATCACTGCTCATTCAAAAAACATTTACTTCAATTAACAATCACTGCTCAATCACTGCTCATTCAAAAAATGGATTTACTTCAATTAACAATCACTGCTCAATCACTGCTCATTCAAAAAACATTTACTTCAATTAAAAATCACTGCTCAGCGATACCCTGCAAAGCAGGAGTGCACTTTTCCAAGAGAGAGTTCCTGTCTTGCTGAATCTGGGTGTAGGTTCTCGCGGCTGTGTGTGGGTGTCAGTGTGAGGAGTGTGAAGGTTGGGTGCTGTATGTGCTTGTGGCTGTGCGTGGGTGGAGTTGTTGGGGTGTGTTTCCGTGTGAGGGTTGAGTGCTGTATGTGCTCGTGGCTGTGTGTGGGTGGAGTTATTGGTGTGTGAGGAGGGTAAGAGTTGGGTGTGGGCAGTTTTTTGTGGATATACAGTACCAGTCAAAAGTTTGGACACACCTACTCATTCAAGGGCTTTTCTTTATTTTTACTATTTTCTACATGGTAGAATAATAGTGAAGACATCAAAACTATGAAATAACACATATGGAATCATGTAGTAACCAAAAAAGTGTTAAACCAAGTATTCTTCAAAGTAGCCACCCTTTGCCTTGATGACAGCTTTGCACACTCTTGGCATTCCCTCAACCAGCTTCACCTGGAATGCTTTTCCAACGGTCTTGAAGGAGTTCCCACATATGCTGAGCACTTGTTGGCTGATTTTCCTTCACTCTGCGGGTCCGACTCATCCCAAACCATCTCAATTTGGTTGAGGTCGGGTGATTGTGGAGGCTAGGTCATCTGATGCAGCACTCCATCACTCTCGTTCTTGGTCAAATATCCCTTACACAGCCTGGAGGTGTGTTGGGTCATTGTCCTGCTGAAAAACAAATGATAGTCCCACTAAGCGCAAATCAGATGGGATGGCGTATCACTGCAGATGTTTGTGAACTATTCCCCTTGTTGAACGTGCCTCAGCTATTACACAAAAAGGGCATCATCATCGTTTTCACAATTTCAGAGTGTTATTTCGACCTCAAAGTGTGGAAATATAATTTTTAAAAACTGGAAATCATGTTTTTAACTGCACTGCCCCCATAATGAAGTTGGCTTCATATTGTGTTTTAATATTGGTCTTAATGAAGTTGGCTTCTAGTGGCTGTGTTTTTGTCTGTTGGAAGGAAACCAAGCCAAGACTAGGAAGGAACTCCATGGCCGTCAGCAATCTTAGTTTTACTGGAAGAAAAACAGGACCGTACACTCATTTAATTTGAACACAGGCACATGCACAGAGATACAATTACAGATACACACACACAAACACAGACACATACTTACATCATACACCCATGGGTGGTTCTCTGTAGCTTAGCTGGTAGAGCACGGTGCTTGTAACGCCAGGGTAGTGGGTTCGATCCCCGGGACCACCCATACACAAAAATGTATGCACGCATGACTGTAAGTCGCTTTGGATAAAAGCGTCTGCTAAATGGCATATTATTATTTACTGTACAACATGCACACTCACACACCCCTGCAGTGTGCAGTACTGGTCAGTGCTTGTGACAGCTGTGGTTAGTGTGGTGTCCTGGGTTGGTCATGCCATGTGACTGAGGGTCAGAAATGTGTGAGTGCAGCACATTAGGGAAGCAGCACAGGCCACATCACATCAACCCCAATGTGTCCACGTTTTACTCACACTACTCTACGCTCTTTGACTCTCACACACATACACACGCACACACACACACAAACACCACAGGACAGATACACACTCTTTCTACAGTACATACACTCTCTCACTTCCACAAACCACAAATATTCCAAACCATAATGAATATCACATACTTAGCCTTACACACTAATTCTCACACAAAACACAAGAAAACACATAGGACGCAAACAAACAACATGAGAAACACTCTATCGCGAACACACATCTATTACAGTGTAACCCTTAATTCAACACATTTCTCACATTGCACCCCTCCCCTCTGTCGTGTCCCCTCTGCAGGACTCATGTGAGAAGCCGGCATGTTATGAGAAGACGGTGACGCTGTCCAAGGAGCCCCATGATTCCCTGGGGATGACAGTGGCAGGGGGCATGTCCTCCCGCGGCTGGGACCTCCCTGTCTACGTCACTAACGTGGACCCCAACGGAGTGGTGGGACAGGAGGGATCCATCCGCAAAGGTACCAGCCTGATGATAAACCTTATACATCACAGTCTCACACACACTCACACAGTCCCACACACTCATACAATTATACACACTCACACTCTCTCTCTCTCTCTCTCTTTCACTCTCACTCAGTCATACAGTAAATCAAATCCAATGTTCTGGCAGGGAATTTAGCTCATATTTACCTGAATTGCTCCAAAATGGATAGTTTCTCTGTTCCATGCAGTCCCTGCTGGTCTCCATGATGCCAGAGCTGGTACTGCAGACAGGCTTAATTTGTGTTTGTGACATGTCCCTTGTGTAGAACAGACAGGGTGATTGAGATAAACACTCAGACTTGTGTTTCATTACCAAGGTTATTTATCCAACAGGAAACGCAGGGGTGGTGTTACTGTTCAGGGCTCGCCAAATTAAGTATAACACACATACACCCACCAACACACACAACCACTGACACACACACACACCACACTCAGATTGTATTAAGTAGCTTCCAGAGGAAATGACAGGCTGCACTTTATCAGCTCATTATACAAAATCAGTCAGCTCTGAAATAGACCAAACACAAACAAAATAATTGGATACACTTGTGGTAGGCCTGTTACGGCTATATACTGCAGTGTGTGAGAGTATAGGTGTATGTATGCGTGTTTGGGTGTCTGGGTGTGACGTTAGAACATCCGAGGGAGCTCTCTGTGCCGGGCCAAACATCAAAGGGCAGTGGAGGCATTTAAACCCAGAACCAACTGCTCATTTTAGGGATCCGCCTCAGATAACCACAGTACAGAGAGACCAGACCTGGGTGTACCACTTGTCTGTCCATCTGAACACACAATCCCCTACATCTGTGTGTGTGTGTGTGTGTGTGTGTGTGTGTGTGTGTGTGTGTGTGTGTGTGTGTGTGTGTGTGTGTGTGTGTGTGTGTGTGTGTGTGTGTGTGTGTGTGTGTGTGTGTGTGTGTGTGTGTGTGTGTGTGTGAGGAGAGTGAGGATGTGTGTATGATATTTAGTGTTATTCCCCTAGGCATAATTCTGAGTGTGTATTCCTGTGCATTCCTGTGTGTATCAGTAACATGCATATGTTTGTGAATACAGCTGTCTACATAATAATTATCCATATTGTACCCTAGTGTGTGTGTATCTGCATAGTGCATCCTAATCAAAGGGGGTGGATGTTGTCCTTTGAGCGAGCCTCCACTCCAGATGGCAGCTGGCTGTGCAGTGTGATGCAGTGCAGTGCTATGTGTACAGTACTGTCTAAGCCCACCTTGATTATCTGGAAGTTATTTGGTCCCACTGCTTTGTGTTCCTGCGAGAGGGGATTGAATATTCAATAGGCAGACGAGACAAGTCCCTGGGAACTTTTGCTTTTGAAAGGCATCAGAATCAAACAGTGGTCAGGGCAACAACACTGTGCTGAGCGGTGCTGTGTTCTGTCCTCCCCTCTGCCTGCAGGTGACATCCTGCTGAACGTTAATGGGCTGGACCTGACGGGTGTGACGCGGGGTGAGGCTGTGGCCAACCTGAAGAACACCACCTCCCCCGTGGTGCTCAAGGTGCTAGAGATGAGGCCTCCGGAGGAGAGTCAGCCAGATTGCCCCTCGCCACCTTGCCTCTCACCCTCGCCCACCGACAGCACCAAGCAGAGCCTTGCCACGCTGCCACACACCGACGACTACTCCCCACTGTGGGTGTCATGGTTGCAGCTGCCCAGGTGAGAAGCAGTACCCCTCCAGCCAGCCTTCTTATTCGACATCTCAGTCACATCTCAGAAGCCTTGCACTTGTCTTTTCCTACTAGCACCGTCTTTGCTGATAACTTCTTTATTGAGGAAAAATTTACTATGACTGTGATATGTGGTTGTCTCACCTAGCTATCATAAGATGAATGTACTAACTGTACATCGCTCTGGATAAGAGTGTCTGCTAAATGACTAAAATGTAAAATGCACAAATGTTCTCTTCTCCTATATCAGTCTCTCCTCCCCTCTGTCCTGACTAGCTCAGGCTTTGACAGGGCCAGATGGGAGAGGAATGCTAATTATATACACTACACTCCAAGGTTTAGAACTCAGTCTTATCCATACTGTTGGCCAGACACCAATAGCCACTGTTTGGCATATTTTTAAGCCCCTTTTGACAGACCAATGTACTTAATGAGCTAATGAACATAGTTAGGTGTTGGCTTCCTACTTGAGTGAAGGCCCTTAATGAAAAGCACTAGCCAACAGCTATGGGAGGGTACAGAGAGACCTAAAGAGGTAACAGGCTACATTACAAGGCCAATATGGGACAGTGGATGTGGAAATGGAGGGTGATGACAGAATGATGAATAGACACTAGTGTACACAGCGTCTGGCCTTCTCTCCATGGCCTTCACCGTCTCTCGCTCATCCTCTTCATCACATCCCAGTCTCAGACAGTGGTCACTCTGACACTCTCCATCCCATGTCCCCCTCCCTCCTCTCCTTCTCCTCATGCTCCTTTAAACAGCTCACGGTGCCAACTTTAAAGGGATTTGCTCATCAGACAAGCCTTCCCATCTCTCCTGGGGTGTGATGTGTGGCAGAGGTGTTGGATTGAGGGATTAAACCCCTTCTAGCTCTCTCGTTTGGATAGAGGTCAGACTCTGGCAGAGCGAGGGGTATGCCCCTTTCTCAACAAATCTGCCACTGCTGGTATAAAAAACTGTTCTTACGTAAAGAAATTAAAAAAATTCTCAGCACTGTATTTTCACAGCTCTGCCTCACCTGGGAGGACAAGTCATGTCCCCATTCTCATTGGACAACAGCCAAGCCGTTGTTTTTTCTGACATACTGCCACGGGACTCTGCATTCTCACTGCTGCATATGTGCACACAGTACAGGCTGGGCACACATTTGAATGCTAGCAGCAGTCTAGAGATTTCCTAATTTCCCTTTTTGTCCATTGCAGGCACCTGTACTGCTGCAAAGACATTGTGCTGCGCCGGAGCACCTCAGGCAGCCTGGGCTTCAGCATCGTGGGGGGGCAGGAGGAGGTCAACTGCAATCAGTCCTTCTTCATCCGCTCCATCGTGGAGGGCACACCAGCATACAACGATGGCAGGATACGGTACGGACTACTAAACCTATGTCTTACACAGGACCTATATCGCTGCATGTCTGCTGAATCTTCTATTTTTCGGTGAGAAATTATATCCAGTATTTACCTAATCGTTACAGTAGTCTTGTATTTACACACTGCTAGCATTGCTATCTGGGCCTCCTTTACTATACTGAGTCCATCTCTATGGTTTTTAAACCCTGCATTAACCCCCCTCCCTCTCTGTGTGTGTAGATGTGGGGACATTCTGCTGGAGGTGAATGGCAAGAGTACGTGGGGGATGACCCACACAGCCCTGGTGCGTCTACTGAAGGAGCTGCGGGGCAGAATCACCCTGACCATCGTGTCCTGGCCCGGAAGCCTGCTGTAGCCCCGCTGAAGCCACGGGGAGGGGCCAACACTGACCAAGGAATGTGGACGGAGCTTTAGACTGGATTACAATGCTGAGCCCTACCGTATGGGATGGGCTTACACTAGTGATGTAGCTATGGAAGGCGGACCTTAGAAGCCTGACTCCTGATGGACAGCTGAGACTTTGCCAGGAGTTCAGAGGAGGCCAACCAACCATGTGACTGGAATTTCACCAAACCCCCCAGACACACTGAGCTGGGAGGAGCTGGATCTGTGGCCCTACCCATGGGATGTACAGAGCAATCTGATTGGTGGAGAGGCTCGTTCTATGACAAAGCATCCAATAAGGGGGGTGGGTGGTTGGGAGGGGACACCAGTTGCCAATTCCATTAGTTCTATGTTAGAGTATGCATTTAATTGGACTCACATTTCTTTATTGTAAATGTTGGCTGTCTAAAAAACTACTGATTCAAGCAATTGTACTATGTTTCTATATTTCTTTCTTTCTATGTTTGTTTGATGGCCTTTGAATATAGGCTTTATTACGTTTGTACTGACAGTGGTTATCATCTTCATCTGTTGGACTGAAGACACATTGCCAAGTAGTCGTCTGTGTTGAGATGTTTTCAGAAGCTGTTGCTAAATTATCAAACCACTGGCAAAAGTATAGTAAAAAAAAGTACAAATGTGTTCATAATCTGTTAAAAGTAATATTAAGGTGACATCGTGGAGGCCTTACTGATTTTCCTACTTTTGAAAAAAAAAAAACCTGACTTTGTTTCTGTGTGTGTTTCCGTGGATGTGTCTGCTCTAGGACCATCTAACGCGGTTCTGTCACACGCTTTGGCCTGCGTAGTATATCTGATGGTACCTTTGGTAAAATAATCAATAAAGTCATTCGAAAAGGACACTTGTCTGAGAGTTTGGCAAGGGTTGGGGGTTTGGGTTCACTTTAAATTACCTGGGATAAGATATTATTTAACACAGCTCACTCAAATTCAAACTATTCAGCTGAGGTCCAGTCAGCTCCTTTATCCAAACGTCTCTCTTAAATTCAACAAAGCAAACACCTCTCTCAGGTGAGTCAAAATATACAGGTTGTATCCAACGTAAACATAAAACAATTATTTACAGTCCAGTCTCTGATAGGTTAAACAGAATGCCTGAGGGTCACAACAGGGCCTCCTATTTGCTGGTGAGAGGGACAGAGTCACTCTGTGGGCTCAGATTGGTTCTTCTGGTTAGGGGAGAGTTCCTGGCTTGGCTCCTTGTCCTCTCTGCTCATCTTGGCCTTCTTGTGTTTGTCTCCGATGGCTGTCCCCCTCCTCACTCTCATGTCTCCTCCTGCTGCTACTGTTAACACACACAGACAGACAAACACTGGTTACTGTCTACCTCAACATGTCTGTGTATACAACACATGTGTTAGGAGTGTGTGTGTTGTACTTGCGTGAGACTGTGTGTCTCCCCTCCTCTTTGTCTCTGTGTCTCTTCTCTCGGTGTCTCTCTTATTTCTCTTGGGTGGATCTCTCATGGTGGTGGTGCTCATATCCTCTCTCCCTGTAGTCCCTGTGCCGGTGGCGCTTCACCTCACTGCAACAACAACTCGCACTGGTCAAAAACCACAAACACTGCTTCCTCACTGGACATCACTGAAACAGTCTTCTTGTTGGACAATGGAAACTAGAGAGTGGCAGAAGTAATGTGATAAGCCAGGTAACATTCTATTGGCCCATTTTCTTTGCTCTCTCTCCTCATGTGTTGCAGGGTCATTTCTGTAGAAATGGTTGGCCCAGGGGACCAGACGATAGCAGCACCTTTACCCACAAGGCTCTCTGTTTGGCTTTAGTTTAATAGCATCCTGTGGTGAACACAAAGCCCACCTCTGTCCTCCTGTGACCTTTAGATGAAAGCAGCACCATCCCCCCCTCTGGTCTCAACAAACAGCTCCATTATTTACTGGAGGACTCCTGGTCCCACAGGGCCACACTCTTTCACACCATCATTCACTAATTCACACCATCCCCCTCCCCTCTCACAACCTCAGCACTCTCTTTGTCCACACATGTACGCGCACACACACGGTGGAGGGGTGTTTTATGCTGCAGAGCAGGTAGGACATAGTGACAGAAGCTGAAACAGACATGCACCTCCAGCCTCCTAAAGTATCCGTTTCTAAAGTGCAGAGAATACACACATGTATTAACTTTACAAATAGACACATATGGTGCTCAAAAGCCATCTGACATAGAGAGCTCATCCAATTGGAACGTGAAAAACACCCTTGCCAAAGCAGAGAGAGAGAGAGAGAGAGAGAGAGAGAGAGAGAGAGAGAGAGAGTGAGCGGTGGAGTTGAAGGACTCATTAAATATTTGGGCACTGGGAGTTCTTCTATTAGTAGTGGGAGTGCAGACCTGAGGGCCTGTTTGCAGTCTTCCACAGTTGTTAGCACTAACACACTTATACCCACTTCACACAGAGTCACTGCAACTGGATGAATAAGTGTTCGCTTCCTAGTGCAGGTTTAATACAGGAAAACATTGTAAGTGTATGCGTGAGAATGAGCTTTGTGTTCCTCTAAGCCTGGGGATCAAGAATGTTTCTAAATTCAGTCTCTATTAACACTGAACAGATAGAAGAACCCTGTGCATGTGTCAGAAAGAGAACGTTTGTGTCACTTACATATTGGTTACCATTAATAACACCCAGAACACTAATACAATCCCTGTGTGTGTGTGTGTGTGTGTGTGTGTGTGTGTGTGTGTGTGTGTGTGTGTGTGTGTGTGTGTGTGTGTGTGTGTGTGTGTGTGTGTGTGTGATGCCCTGCCAGCTGGCGAGATGACAAGCCCCTCCATACTGAGCTACAGGGATGAGATGAGATCACATTCAGAGGACAAGTGTTCACCAAATGGCCAACCAGCTGCCTGGGCTGCGTGCACCAGCCAGAAAGGGAGAGATTGAAGGAGGGATGAAAAGGAAAATAATTCACTCTACAAAAAATGTGCCAGTGAGTGTCAATGTGTAAGGGGTGTCTTTGGGAGGGGGTGAGTGGGACTGTTCTGTGTTGCATTAGCCAGAGTGTTAGCCTAGGTGCTAACTCCCAAACATGCCTGGCTGGGGGTTGTGCCAGAGGCTGGTGCCCAGAGAGGGCTGTCCCAGTCAGGCTGTGACTCAGAGGGTATCAGTGGTGCTAAGCAGATCCCTTTAAAGAGCAGTATGCAACCAGAACACACGTTACTGACACCTCTACACAACCAGGGTGGCCAGTGGCGGCTCCTGAAAAAATTCTCAGGAGGGGCAATTTTTCTGATGATTTAGGTGACCTACACACATTTAAAAAAAGATATGTCCAGCAACAACATGAAGACAGGGGCAGCATATAAGTCAATACCAGAAGCATTTATTGACTGATCTCAAAAGTGTTGGCTTACCAGGGTTGGTGGAGCCCTCAGTTTCATCTTTGCCTCGCAAAGCTAACTCAAACACTCCGCAAAACTTCACACACTGGATTAGCCGGCTGAGGATGTGGCGGTTCTTGCTAATGTCGTAGTAAATATATTTGTTATAGTGAATATGGAATATGATATGTTGAGTAAAATGTTGTGCTAAGATCTATTTAGGTCAGGAGCTGGTTATAAGTTCTGTTCCTATCCAATAACAATGGACAAAAGGGTCCTATCTTGTCAGCCTTGTCAGCAGGTGGCCAAGGACAACACCCACGCCATAGGCCTCTCAGTTCTTCCAACTCACGAGTTCTTGCTCTGAGGACACACACACACACAAACACACACACACACACATCATCACTGTTAAACACACACACACACACACACATCATCACTGTTAAACACACACACACACACACACACACACAAAAATCCCCTCTCTTAGGCTGAACATTTGAAGACAGAGAACCCGACTCAGAGCCAATGCAACAGTGACAGTAGCCTGCAGGGGACCTCGCCCAACTCATCAGGACCAATCAGAAGATCAGAACTACTAGATTGAACCTACTTCATTTATTGCATAAAATGTCTGCACACAATGTTTCGGGGCTCTCTTCAGATAATAATAATAATAATAATAATAATAATAATATGCCATTTAGCAGACGCTTTTATCCAAAGCGACTTACAGTCATGCGTGCATACATTTTTGTGTATGGGTGGTCCCGGGGATCGAACCCACTACCTTGGCGTTACAAGCACCATGCTCTACCAGCTGAGCTACAGAAAGTGGATACTCATGGATGCGCATTGCAATTGTAAAATGTCAACACAATTGGAGACACCACGTCATTTTTGGAGACATGTTATTGACAGTAAACTATTGTAGATGCGACTGCTAACTAACTAAATCATTTTAGCTGGCTAGCTAATCATCTTAGCTAAATGTGGGGCAAACAATTCAGTTATTTACCGTTAATTTGAGGGATTGGGGTGAAAGAAATCGAGTTACATAGTGATACTTTACGATATACTGTATTGACAATATCGCAATATTTTAGCACTAGTTGGCTGTACCTGCACCAAAACACCATTATTGTTCCTTCATAGCTTGTTCTCAATCTTTTCACATTGGGAGCCAATTTGTTTTCAGCACTTTTATTTCCATGACTGATCAAAACTCGTTCTCATGGCTTTCTGATCCCTCTGCAACAGACATATGGTGCGCAATAAAATCACAGTATCGAATCGCAATACGTATAGAATCATGAGACTCGCAATGCTGATGCATATATCTTATCGTGAGGTTCCTGGCAATTCCCAGCCCAAGTTCATTTGCCACAACAAATCTCTTCGCTAGCAAACGCGATGTCTTCTCCAAAACGGCAATGTGTCTCCAGCAATGTTTACTTTTTTGACGTTCTATGGCATCTCCACTTTCCAAGCATATATGACCACATGTAATATTTTGGTAAGTGATGCAAATAGTGAACTATGTAGGGCCAGGATGTAAAATATATGTAGCTGCAGCAATTTCTCTTATCTGATATGGTAAGTAATGGGGCTTAATTTA